GCCCCAGCCATGCCGCCGACAGTGGCCAGGCGCCGAGGCTAGTCTGCTTCTCCTCCTCCCCGTTGTTGTTGCGTCAGTTTCATTTGACCAAAACTGAGTCGAAACATACATACATGACCTTATGCTGTTGCGAGCGCAGTAAAACCTCTACTAAAACTTAATTGAGTGGATAGTGCCGAAAACACCTACTCCATTCTATGGCCATACCACGTTGAACCTACCGGTTCTCGTCCGATCACCGAAGTAAAACTAAAAACACCTACTCCAACAAAGAAAGAAAGAAACGATCAATTTCATTGAACTGACTGTAGACTGTAATAATAGGTAGAGTAATGGGAACCCCCACCCCACCCCTACCCCCACCCCCACAAGCGCTTTTCTGGCTCCAGCATCCATCCCATTTTGCTTAGTTTGGGAGCGCCTGTTTTTTCATTGACGAATTCTTTCTTTCCATGACCAGTAACTGTTGATGTTAGGGTGGTTGGGAGGTGGTGCTACTTGATCCTTTTCTATCATTGTTATAATGTAGGCTACTATGAGGTGGCACCATATTGGATGCTTTGATCAAAAGCAGACTTTTTGTATTATATTGGCCCTGAGAAGACAGCGCAGCAGCCGTAGCTTAAATTATCTTGTCGTGTGCCTCATCTATGCTAGCCACAGTGGTGTAGATGGGGTACGACGTTTGGCACTAGACATCAGTTCAGGATTCCAACTTGGTGGTGTTATTTATCTTCCCAGAAATCTTTTTCTTTGTGTGTGTGCGTCTGTGTGTCTGTGTCCGTGAGCATGTTGGAGGGAGACTGAGTGTACCTTCAAAATGACCAGTAGCAAATTGTGCCCCAGCTAGTGATTGGTTCTTGACGTAAAGAGTGCTGAATGCACGAATGCACTAACATACCTGTAGTTTGGTGGTGAGATCATATTTTATTCGGGGTGGTTGGCGGGTGCTCTGGTGTGGTTTCCTTCCTATCGAACTCTTGTCGTCTTTATCTCTCCTCCTTCTTTTTTGTGTTTGTTACTCTGTCGTAACTCTTATAATTCTTCGGCTTTTATATAACCTCATTGTGTTGCAAGTGCTGCCAAACACTTACTAAAACTAAAATATTTTATTCGTCCCACTTTTTGGCCCCGGTTGGCCCCCCCTCCATAGGCCACTTGTTGGTAGTTGGAGGGTGCTGATGGTAGTATGCTCAAGTACCCTCTTATCATCGGCTTGTTATTTCTGTCTGTGGTCTGGCTTTGGCGCCCCCCCACCATCTTGTTACCTTGTTGTGTCCCAGTGTTTCTATTCTTGTAGGTGGGTGGTTGGTAGGTGCTCTTGTGTGGTTTGATCCTTCTTCCTTGTAAAAAAAACCCCCCATCTATGATGATCCTTTTCCTTCCTCCCATTTGGATGGTTGGTGGGTGCTCTTGTGTGGTTTGCTCCTTCTTCCCTGTAAATACATCTATGATGATGGTCCTTTTCTTTCCTCTTAGCTGGGTGGTTGATGGGTGCTCTTGTGGGGTTTTTGCTCCTTCTTTCCTGATTGCTGCCTGTAGATAAATTGAGATTTTGTTGGGTGTTTTGAATAATGTGTGTTGCCCCCGGGGCAGTGCCACTGACTGTAGTGTGGCCATTCCCAAAGGGGGGGACATTTCTCGTTCAAGCATAGTAGAATTGTAAATGGGCCGTTTCATGTCACGCTCATAACTGCCTGATCTACAACAGGGAACTGCTGCTTTTTCTTTCCTGGTCCTTACTATTTTCATTTTCCTCTACTTCTTTTGTACGTTTGTCACTCTCTTGGGACCTGCTATTTCCGGGGTGCCTTGATAGTCGAAGCAGACCTTGTGCTGTTGAAGCTAGAGAGGTGAGCAGTCTAAGTCTGATTCCCTGTAAAGACTTCTCTGTTGACACCCACCCCTTGGCGCTCATATGACCTCATGCAGTTGCGAGGGCCGTAAAACCCTCTACTATAAGAAAAAAAAAGAAAAGAAAAGAATATGTACTCTTGTAAAAAACGCAACACTCTTACTTAAAAAACCCTAAAACACTTGGTCTTGAGAGTTGATGGAAGCTGCTTTGGAGTTGAAAGAGTCAACTCTTTGATGGGTTGCAACAAATTTTTCAAATTATGTGGATCAAAATGTAATGTACCATTGTTTGACTACTTGTAAATCTCACTCAATTTCTCTTTTTTCTTCACAGGAATTTAGTATCAGCCTCTCAAGATGGTAAATTGATAGTATGGGACGGCTACACAACAAATAAGGTGGGTAATGTTCACTTCAGAATTTTGTGGTGTGTTCCGCTGTTTGATATATATATATATAAACGTAACCTTTGGCATTTGTTGACTTGTTTTTACATCGATGTTCATCTCCCCCCCCCCACACACACACACAGCAGGTAGCTTGAGAGTGCCATGGGTAGGTCTTCCTTTTCTTTCCCTCTCTCCTCTGTCTGTCTTGTTTCTTTCCTTGCACTAAATGACAGTTGTTGTGCTGTTGTGCTTTTCTGTACTCAAATCCTTGTCAACAATGTAAAGTAGAGCTAGCAATTGCTCTTTGAGAATTTGATTAGATCTATGCTCAAATCAACTGGCTCTAGCCTCTCATTTCTATACTCTCAGTTCCATATGTGAGGCATGCTGACAAAGTGAGTTAGGTCTACTTCTCGCCATCCAAGAATGGAGATATTGCCTCAGCACTGGGGTCAGATTTATAGATTTTCAGTTGATGCCATTTTGCTCAAGTCTACCGTGTTTTTTTATTATTCCATACTTACAAATTGTACAAACTCCACCAATAAAGTTGATGTATCAATGTCCGTACGGGTAAAATCCGAAAGAAGTTACTCATTTTGTCAGCACACCTGATAAATAGATTTGGATAGCATTTGTGTTGTGTAAATTCCCTCTCAACAGCATAGACAGCTATTTGGGTGGTTGGCGGGTGCTCTGGTGTGGTTTGTTCTTTCTTTCCTATCAAACATCTATCGTCCTTATCTCCCCTCCCTTCTTTTTTATGTTTGTTACTCTCATGTAACACCTCTAATCTTCTGGCGCTCATATGACCTTATGCAGTTGCGAGCGCCATAAAACCTCTACTAAAACAAAAACAAATAGACAGCGAAAGATCTTGTCAGTTTGTTAGTGTTTGAGGACGTAATCAGCTGCTTGCACTGTATGTTTGAGGGTAATAATATAGTGTGTAAGGCGCATACTGCTTGCATGGGTGGTTGGCAAGTGCTCTGGTGTGGTTTGCTCCTTCTTTCCTATCAAAGAACTATCGTCTTTATCTCTCCTCCTTTTTTATGTTTGTTACTCTCTTGTAACACCTCTAATCTTAGGCACTTATTTATACGACCTTATTGTGTTGCAAGTGCCGTAGAACTCTTACTAAAACTAAATAGTTCTTGCTGTTGAGCGGGGATATGCACTAAACAAATGCTATTTATATATTATTGGAATTTCTCTGCAACGTAATGGACGGAAATGTTGTATGTTGTCTTCCCCAGGTCCATGCCATCCCGCTCCGTTCAAGCTGGGTGATGACCTGTGCCTATGCTCCGAGTGGGAACTTTGTAGCATGTGGAGGTCTAGACAACATCTGTTCTATTTATAGCCTCAAAACTCGTGAGGGAAATGTCCGAGTCAGTCGAGAGCTGCCGGGACACACAGGCTATCTGTCCTGCTGTCGATTCATTGACGATAACTCCATTGTAACTAGTTCGGGAGACATGAGTTGGTGAGTATTGTATTGTTGCGTGGGTGGTTGGCGGGTGCTCTGGTGTGGTTTGCTTCTTCTTTCCTATCAAACATCTATTGTCCTTATCTTTCCTCCTTCTTTTTTGTGTTTGTTACTCTCTTGTAACACCTCTGATCTTCAGCACTTACATGACCTTATTGTGTTGCAAGTGCCGTAAAACCTCTACTAGAGCAAACAAACAAAAGCATTGTTGTGGCTCGTCTCGTTGGGGATTGGAAAATGTGAGAACGTGTGTAGCGTATCGAGTCAGTTCTAGCTAGATGGTAAAATATTGCCGTTGGAAAATCGCACTAGTTTTACTGGGATATCTATCGTTGAATGTCATGTCACTTTAGTGTTCTATTGTTTCCAGTATGTTTTTTTCTGGAACTAATGAAATGATGAATATAGTTGCCGTTTCAAACTTCTGTCTATAGTGGAACATTTAATGTTATGATGATTATTTTGCTGTCAACTCAGAACTTTTTAACAAGCATGCTATCTTATGGTTGGTCTCATTTGTAACAGGGGTTTTGATAGTGTATGCAAGTTGTAGATTTGCCTTTTTTGTTGTTGTTGGTGTGTAGTTGACGGGTGCTCTGGTGTGGTATGCTCCTTCTTTCTTATTAAACGTCTATCGTTCTGATCTCTCCTCCTTCTGTTTTATGTTTGTTACTCTCTTGTAACACTTCTAATCTTCGGCACTTATATGACCTTATTGTGTTGCAAGTGCCGTTAAACACTTGCTAAAGCTTGTTGTTGTTGTATCTGTCAACATTGTGGAATTTGTGGAAACTTGCACCCCCTCACCTTGCTCCTTATTGTGTTGCAAGTGCCGTAAAACTCTTTTACTAAAATTAATCACCTTGCTGTAATATTTTTTTTCCAGTGCACTATGGGATATAGAAACAGGCCAGCAGACCACCTCTTTCACTGGGCACACTGGTGATGTCATGAGTCTATCCACATCCCCCGACTTTAGGACTTTTGTCTCTGGTGCTTGTGACGCCTCAGCAAAGGTGAGACGTTTGGGAAGATCTGACGGTTCGCCTACACTTAGGGGCCTTTTTACTTTCCTTCCCAGGGTTTTTTTGTTGGGTTTTTTTTTTCTGGCTTGTTTATAATCAATAATCTCTTTTCCTTTTTAAAAATGTTTGTAGGTACTTTTCAGTTTCGTGTATGTATTATGAAAGAAAAAAACAAAAAACAATTGAGAGTTCTAACATCTTTTATGGTTAAATATTATTTTGCACTCTCACGTCTGAAATGGATGAGCAGTTCTGATTTATCCATTCTCCGATATATATATTTTTTCTCATTATAGATGTCTTTGTGTTGTCTTTGCCTTTGGTTTTGTGCAGATGATGTGTTTGTGTTTCCATAAGCAAATAGTGCAGATGTTTTTTAAAAAAGTATGCACTTTTTAATAATATTTCTGGAAGATTTTCCAAATCATGTCTAAAATTGGTTGCACTAATCCTAATTTTTTCTGTCACTTTAACACTCTTCCTGTTCTACTTTGGCATTAAATAATTGTCATTATCAGTGATGATGGGTAGATCAGTCATATTGTGGGTGGGGCTCTTACAAATGAGGGCAGGTCGTTTAGAGGTGAAAATTTCCTTGCTTGGGAGGAAATCTCGAATGTGGTGTATGACATAGTTCAGTGCGCCGTTTGATGAACACATGTTGCACAAAAAAAAAAAAAAAAAAAAAGCTCAGAACAGTGTATTGCATGCTCTGTACTCACAGACTTGCAGCAAGTAAGCACAGCTTGTTCTCAGGCTTGCAAATTTTTCATCGACACAATTGTTCAGCTGATGCAAGTCCTGGACATCTTTTTTTTTAGTAGATGAAAAGGATGGCACTAAAGACTAAAGTAGTGAGTCTCTGGCCCCTTTAGCGTGTCACTATGCCCCGCTTCTGAACGTGGTCTATAAATGAAAATGCACTGTAGGCAGCTATTACATTAGACTTTGTAGCCCAGAAAGCAAGACGTTGATTCCAAATGAGCATGTGGGTAACTGGATTTAATTTACCCTGTGAAAGGATTGGGGGGGGGGTGCGCGCGCGAAAGTCCTATTTCAGTTACTAAACTATACCCTTCCTCAGGTTGATTATGTATAAAACTACCCCTTTTAATAATGTACTTCTTGAGAATGTGAAACCTTTTATTGTAATGAATTATGTTTCATGTGAAGTGTTTTATTGTAATTCATGTTTCATGGTTGATTTCTGATTTGTTTGTTTCAGCTCTGGGATGTAAGAGATGGAATGTGTAAACAGACCTTCTCAGGCCACGAGTCTGATATTAATGCAATTACTGTAAGTATTTTTCTTTTATTGTATGTGTGATTCTGTTCCTAATTAGGTTACTTGTAGAATGGAGAGAATGTTTAAAAAGAGTTCAGGATGAGAGAGAGAGGTGAAAAAGTAAGAATGAAGTAAAGGAAGAAGAGGAGGGGGTATGTTGATGATATTAACCCTATCTGTTCGCCATGGGGTTATTTTGTACCCCCGGGGTTGTATTCTTCGCATTTTAGAATACTTCTAGTACGAGGATCTCTTTGAAACTTTCAGTTTTTCTCAAAAAATCATTTTGACATACTGCTATGCAAAGCGTATGGATCGGATTAACGAGTGAATTTACTCCCTGGAAAGTGGTGGCACAGAGTTCCCCACGGCGTATTGATAAGATGGTAAAACACGACGTACGGATAGGGTTAATACTGGTTCCTATATTCAGAATAAGGCTTTTTCATCACCTTTCACTCCCATGACATGTTCCTTGTGTCTCAGTCAGTGTCTTAGTGGAATAATTACAGGTGGTTTAAATGCAGAATGTGATTTCATTATTTGATTTTTTAATTCAACGGATTGCAACTGTTTGTCATCATTGATGCTCCATACTAGCATGCCTTTAGTAGTAGTAGAAATTCCTGCTTTCCTTTCCACACTTCTTTTTCTTACTAATTTTCTCATCAACTGCCCTCTTTCACAGTATTTCCCGAACGGGCATGCATTTGCCACCGGCTCCGATGATGCCACATGCCGCCTGTTCGACATCCGTGCGGACCAGGAGATCGGCATGTACTCCCATGATAACATTATTTGCGGTATCACGAGTGTGGCCTTCTCCAAGTCTGGCCGACTTTTGCTGGGCGGCTATGACGATTTCAACTGTAATGTCTGGGACGTGCTCAAGCAGGAACGTGCAGGTGAGTGCCACGGCCTTGGGCTTTTCATCCTTACGTTGATTGAGAGTGATAAGTACACGGAAATGTTTCATACATTATTCTGTCATAGTACAAGTTTTGTATTGATGTCCCCCCTTTGTTCATAAAAAGTACCGTATGTGGTGCAATTTCTATTGGCTTTAACTATAGCGAGTATTGGAAATGCATTGTAGATTTATTTAGATGGCTCCTTTATTTGACATTTATGGGCGGGCAGTGGACAGGACTACCAAAATCAACTTTGGGGAAAAACAGAAATATTTCATACAATTTTTGAGCTATGAGTCATCTATCCAGTATTATTTCCCATCACTTTGTCTCTTATTATAGTTTTTGTTTTGGCTCGCATGTTATTTTATTTGTCCATTGCATAACTTTGGCTATCTAGACAACAATGCTTGAAATGTGTTTGTCGTTTCGGCGTTCTGTCATAATTTGATCAAGTGGTGATTTTATATTATCTTTAAGACCAAACTGAGTCGAAGGTGCCGTAAAACACCTACTCAAACCAACAATTTTATCTTTTGTCCTCGCAGGCGTCTTGGCCGGTCACGACAACCGCGTGAGCTGTTTGGGTGTGACAGAGGACGGCTCTGCCGTGGCCACTGGATCCTGGGACAGCTTCTTGAAGATCTGGAACTGAGGCTGACTGCGCCGTGGGGGGAGGGCCTTGTTTGCTCGCTAGTTGGCCACGCGGTCCGTGCCACACACACACACACACTCTCTCACAATACACTCACACACCACATCACACCCGCTCCATCATCCCTCTCACTCATTGGACATTTCATTTTCTCTCACAAGTCGCTTTTTGATTTCATCAACCTTTTTCCCTCCCCTCTCAGCAAAGATTGGAAAGAATTGAGAATTCGTGTCGTGGTCTGGCGAAGCGCATGCACATTTCCCTCCTTTTCCCCACTAGAGCAAAAGGGGGGAAAATAAAACCCCCTCAGTTACTAAACACAAACAGCAAAAGCACTGTCACCCTTCTCCCCAAGATATGCCTTGTAAAGGAAAGCACAAATTGGGCAAAGACTCCTCGATTGTGATTGTTTTCTTTGTTGGTTTTTTTTTTCTTTTTTTTAAAAGGAAACTTTTGAATTATCTGTTGACGTTTTTTTTTTTTTCCTTTTTCAACTGAACATGTGTCACATCAAGTTTTAATAGTAAGGAGCAATCCCTCGGGCACTCTGCACACTGATGGCATAACTGTCCACCACTTGGTGTTTTTTGTTGATATTTATTTTTCTCTCTCTTTCTCTCATATTCTGCTCGGCAAAACTCGTGGATGTTCAGTGTTGGGGTGGTTGAGTTTTTTGGACGAAAAAATATTTGGGGGGGGGGGGGACATTTCTCTCCCGAGCAGAGAAAAACCACGATCCGAACTGTGTGGCTCAGACTCATTGACAATCTCCACGGAATTAATAATACCTAGTGTTGACAAGTGCAGTTAATTTGGAGTGAGTGAGAATAGTAGGATTTTGCAATTCTTTTTCATCATCCAAGGTCTTAATGTCACTACTCCCCTTCTGTTTTGTTGCTGTGTCAGCTGTCCATGGAACCCTGTACCGGCCAAAGTTCTGCTTTTGTTTGGTCCAGAGGCGGGGAGAGCTCTCCCTTCTACGAGGAACTCTCTCAAGACCCGTGTAGCAGTTTGAGATGAGAGTGTTCGTGAAACATGTGGTTTTGTTGCAGTGACATTTTTCTCTCTGTGTGCGTGAGGAAGAGAGCGCTATTACACACGTTAGGATGGGCAGTTTGTTGAGGACTGCAGGTTTTTTTTTTTTGTTTTTAGTTTTGTTTTCTACCCTCCCACCCTCCACAAAGATGACACGGACAATTTGTTTCTCATGTGGTGGACTTCTGGATTGAAACAGAGGAAACAACGGACTTGATGGAAATGTACCAGAGACGACACACACGGATGGATATCAAGTTCAATCGGAGAAAGGATACTACTAGCAGTGGAGTTGTAGAACACCAGCCCTCCAGGATATAAAACTGCCACACAGACGGCGCGCGTGTCCTGTGTGGCGAGTTCCTGTTCAAACCAAAGGTTTCTCTGCTTGCTACAGATTCAGTGCAGACCGGTTGCTCGTTTTGTTCCTGTATGACAAAGCTTGTCAAAGCTTATCAAATTCTGTGTATGGATATATATTCTTTTGATGAATATATTGTGCTTTATGTGGGCCATGCTTATATGAATATAGTTTTAGAGGCAACTTGCAAGGGCCAGAATTGCTTTTGTTTTGTGTGTGGAGATTGCCTCTAGAAAAAAGTCTGACAGTGCTGACAGTTTGTATTGTGTTGGGAGTCATGCTTGTCGGGTCAGACTGGAGACTTGCGTGGGCCGACGTCTTATGCTGTTACTCGGGATATTTTCTCTGTACAGTTCTGTGAGACGGGGCATGTAGCCTATATCCCTGGCTGGAAGGTTGGTTTGTTGGGAGGCGCAGAGGTTATTGTTTGCATAATTTGCTTCAGCTGATCCGAATGACATCTGGACCTTTGAGGTTGTGAGAAGCTTGCCGAATTTTTGTTCATTCCGCGTCGAGACTGCGCTGGCTCCCTGCAATGTATCGTGTCTGGCAGTGGGGAGGAGGGGACGGTTGTCACTTTTGACTGTTCACAGAGGGAGAGAAAAAAAAGTTGCGCGTTGTTTACAACCGCTAAGATGGACAGACAATGGAATTTGGGGTGGGGGAGGGGGGAGTTGTTTTGGTGTGTGTCTTTTGTTTGTTCCTTTGACTTATGGTTTTTTTATTTTTTAAAAATTTTATTTTTTTGTACCAAACCAGCGAGTGGGGGAGGGACAAGTGTTGTTTAGTTGCAAATGTTGCAGCATCAGCAAGTAGTGAGAGAGGTGTTGGTGTAGGGTGATGTAGTTGTGAGCAGCTGAAGCAGGCTGTGCTCTCCCATGGGACAGGCTGGTGTGTAGCCACAGACTGCTCATCCATACCAGTGTCTTGAGTCGTAGCTCGGGACGTGGGCACGCGCGCATTGTACCGTTTGTTCGTTTTTTTGTGTCGCATGCGTGAGAGGGAAAGATCGAAAGAAAGAAGAAGAGAGAGGAAGAAAGGGGGGCTAGTCTGTGCTGTGTGTGTCCCATCAGAAGGCACCACACACATACTGACTGGCTGTATGTACACAAGTTTGATTGGATTACATTTTTTGTGTGGATGTGTTGTAATCTTGTGTGCGAGAGTTGTTGTGTGTGAGGGAGGATTTTTTTGCTTGTGAGAGCTACCGTACTTGTCTACATGGATAACTTTCTATATATGTTCACATCAACTTTGGTACACTGTAGCCTGCAGGCTGCCAGGCGTTTTCCTGTCAGCATGTCTAAATGCCATTTTGTATTATCTCAATGTTAATGAAACAAGAGTGAAATGTTACAAGTGCACATGACATTTTCAGAATGTCTAGCTGTTTTTGTTTGGTTATTATTTTTTGCCCTGTCCATCACCCTTCTTTTGCTTTTTTTTTTGTTGAAAGTTCTGTACATTTTTTTTTCTCTGTCACTTGTATTATAAGGATAATACTCCCTATGTTGTTCTCTTTATTATTTTTTAACGTTGAAGATTTTTGGTTTTGTCTTTTTATTTGTTTTACTCAAGCCAAGGAATCATTAGTATTATACCGATGGCCAATTTCCTTATCCAGTTTGTTGTCTTGTTGATAGTGTGATATTCAAGCACTGCGTGTTTTGATCTATTGTTTTTTTGTTTATTTAAAACAAAATTTTAAAGGAAAGATGTTTTTCACGTTTTCTTTTATATATCCAAGTTCTTGTGTTTTTTTTGGGTTATTTTGTTCTAATGTGTAATAAGTTGAGCCATTGCCACCAAGCCCGCAGGGATTTGGGCTGGCAGCACCTCCCTAATTTGTTCACTGTAGAGATCTAGACCCACCTTCTGAGTATACCTGTTCGGGGTTGGTTGTCATACACAATACTTTTTTGTTTATTTTTGGATACTGAAATGACAAGATCTGATTCCCCCATTATTTGACTTCATTTTATTATGCATCTCTTCGAAGCTTTGTTTTGTAAATTGTTTTATACAGAATAAGTTATCGTGTAGTTACAGATTTATTACGGACAGATAGTATGCTCCTTTCTCTCCTCGGTATTTGAAAAATTATTGAAGGACCTGAGGATTTCTCTAGTCTACTGCACTGAGCATTGGGGGGGGGGGGGGGGGGATGGACCTGAGTCTGGTGACAGCAGGGTGGCTCTGTAAAACGTTGGGTGGCGGCTTTCTTTGGTGAACAGAGAGAAAAGGAGCCAGAAGGTGTTGGTTCCAAATTTTGCATTGGAACCTACTCTCTGTGGCACATCCTCAGCCACTGGGGCAGAGGTCAATGGTATACCCTTGTTCCTACTACCCACTCACCATTTTACGATTTAGCCTTCCCACTGCCCCTCTCCCTCCTCTTGTCAGTGTTAAAGAAGTTCTCAAAAAATTCCTTGAATATATCCCATACAGAACTTTTTTTTTCTCTTTTTTTTTTTTTGGTTATGTTTCTGTATTTTGAAATCCTTGGACGCCATCTTTCTTTTTAAAAAAAAATTATTGGTTATGTGTAAGAATTGAATTGCAGAGCTAGGATTCCCTAAGTTTCTTGCCTTAGTGGTAGCAGACATGATGTTAAATACTGTACAATTGTCTGGAGTGAGTGTGCGTGTGCCTGTGATTGGCTGCCATTGTGTCGTCGCTCTTCACAATGCGCGGTTCAGCTTGTTTAGGTGTAATATATGATTTAAAAGAAACATCTTGTCTTGTACAATAAAGCATGCTCACTTCGCTGTGTTTTTTGCTAGTTGATTATCAATACTACTACATTTATTACTACTATAACTATTACTATTATAAAGTATAAGTTGACTTTACAAAAACGGAAAAAAAAAAAATCTTTGCGTTGTTTGTGTCACCACAAAACTGGTGTGTATGCATTACATAATTTCTGTGTGCTTGTGTCTGTTCCATGGCTTCTAAATGATGATGTTGTCTTATGTTTTGTTTTGTTGTTTGATTGTCCAAAGTTTTTTTTTTAAAGTTTTTTTTTTTTTTTTTTCTCTCTCTCTCCACAAGGCTGAGGAGGATTACTTGTCAACTTTTGGAAGTGGCCACTGCATTTTCGTAGATGATGATTGTGTCATTCTGTAGTGTTTTCTTTCCGACGAATCTGAGTGGCTCTTTGCGATGTGATGTGGACTTCTTTGAGATGATAGCTGTTAAGTAAACATACACATACTGCATCAGAAACGGAAATTTTTATGCTAAGAAGTAAGAGAAAACAAACCGGCCAACTTTCCCCCCACACTCCATAGGTTTTGCATTTGTATGCCCTGGAGTGGGCACCGTGTGACTTTGAAGAAATCACAGTAAAAGTGGTCACCAAAGAACTAAGAACTCTCTTTGAAGAGTGAGCGTATTGTAGAAGCAGCCTTCCTTCAGAAGCGCAGGGGGGGTATTGCAGAGATAATATTTACAGCGCTCGCTGTTAAACTTGTTGGGTGGGGGTGGTGGGTAGGTAGTCCTTTCAACCCTCCCACCCACCCCAAAACAAAACAAATTTATAAAGTAAAATTTTGATGTGATATATAAAGACGTGCAATTTTTTTCGGGGGTGGGGGGGATCCTCCCTTGGTCAAGTTGACGCACCGATGTTGATGACGTCACCGTTCTGCGTGTACCCGGGACGCACTCGGTGTTTGTCCACACTGTGCTTTTCTGTCCGTTCTTTCACCCCCCCCCCCCCCCCCCATCCGTGGCCCACTCCCCACCTTGTCACCACCACCACCCTCTTCATCCCTCTCTCTCTCTTTCTCTCTCTTTCTCTTTCTCTTTCTTTCTTTCTTCATCCCTCTCTCTCTCTTTCTCTCTCTCTCTCTCTCTCTCATTCATCTTTTTTGTAAATGAATGTATGTCCAAGTACGTAAAAATAATTATAGATGATGATCATGGTTATGATGATAATAATAGTTGTTAAATCTACTATTATTTACATTATTATATTCTTATTATTTATATTTCAATAACGCAGTATGATGTAGAAAGGGTGAGTGAGACGATTTTAATGCATACATGGCCTATCTCTGTGGATATATTTTCGGTTCTGAGTGTGCATGTTCAAACTAATTATCTTTGTGTCAAGGTATAATAATTCCTTCATCCGTACACACACACACACACGCAAATACACACAAACACATAAACACGTGCATATAAACACAGAATATCATGTCTGGATTTATTCTCCTCCCATTTGTCAAACTGACATTTTGTTTGAAGTTTTTTTTTGGTTTTTTAAAAACTTTTTAATAGGATATCAAAACTTCTAACCTGGATGAGTTTTTTTTTCTCAACCTTTCTGTGGTGGAAGTCACGGCGCACATGTGGGATTGAGTGCGGTGTCTGGCTGATGAGCTTTGAATTATGGGCGAGACAACTGTTTTGGCTGGGGTTGAAGGGAACAGGTTGTTTTTTATTCGGGTGAAAATTTACAAACGAAAAGAGAGAAGAAAAAACAGGATGAGATCCGGAGGAGATCCGAGAAGACATCTTTTTTAAAATGTCTGTCAAATATCAGCAAGGAACAGTTGTCCCTTTGTCATGAGTTCGAGCAAAGTTTGGGGAAAGAACCAAAGAGCGAGACACCGAGACACCGGCCCTGAGTCTGGGCATGTGGCCCTGACTATCATCCCCTGAAACGACTGGGTTGGGTTTGTTTTTTTCTCTTTCTTTTTTTTTTTTTTTTCAAGTGACAACGGAACACTGTATTCCAGGGCTCCCTCCAGTACTTCATTCGTTTTTTTCCATCACCGACACACACGATCATCTCATCCCTACCAAGTTTTCAACTTTTTTATGGTGGTAAAAGTAAGGAAACAAACATCATGCTTGCTTGCCTGTCTGTCTGTCTGATTGTTGGTCAGTCTGTATGACTAATTGATGTAATCTTACCTTTCATGTAGTGTTGGACACCATTGATTGAAGAACACTTCTTGGTTTTGTTTTGGTTCCTCTGATTATTTATTATTGATACCTTCTACCCGGGTCTGTCAGCGAGTGAGGGGAATAACGTGAATGCACACCACTACTACTATAATTTGGACAGAAAACATAGGGGGGGGGGGGGGGGGGGAGGAGAGAGTATTTTGTACTTGAGGAACAATCTTCTTAGGGACAAAGAAAGCATTTTTGTTCCGGTTTTGTATTTATATCTCGTTTTGTTTTCTTTCCTACTACTACTCTAGCCGGGCAGAACTCTTGATGTTTTTCTATATGAAGAACTTTAGGGTTGGTGTCTGAAATGGTTTTGGGAGTATCCAAACCTTCAGGGGGGGTAGGGGGGGGGGTGCGTCTTTTGTACTACTACTTTGTGATCCAACCTGTGAAGATGATTGGACAAACATGTTTTGTAATAATAGAGAGAGAGGAAACTTTTGAGAGCTCATTGGAGAGAGGGAGGAGAGAGACAAGAGCACTCCTCCCCGCCCCCGCTCAGAGACGTTGGAACACCGGCCATATACTACAAGAAGTTTAATTTTTAAAAATCCTCTCCCCCTCCCTTCTGATTAGCCCCACGAGGTAGCCTAGTGTTGTTGTTTTCACCACGTGTGCTGTGCTGGGACACACTAGTGAGTCCACCACGGTGAGAGAGCGAGCGAGCTGACAGGCACAGCCGGCCGCCGGGAGAGAGAGGGAACAGGGCAGACTCTGTACTCTATAGGGAACACAACCTACTCTATAGGGAAAGCGACAGATTCTGTACTCTATAGGGAACGTGACCGACAGACTCTATAGGGAACACAACAGACTATAGTAAAAGCGACAGACTAGGGAACACAACAGACTCTATAGGAGATGCGACCACAGACTCTATAGAGACGCATAGGGTTAACCAACCAACCAAGCTACTCACCATCTGTGGGGAAGAAAGAAAATAAACTACCAGGGTGTTGGTTTGTCTAGAGTGAGGGAAAAAAAAACACTGGGGTCACAAGTTTTGTGGCTGTAGACGCTAGCCACTGATGTTAAGCAAGGTCACCGATTCGAACTCACAGTCACAGCAAGATCATACGATCATTAGTGGAGTGTCTTTCTTTTTATGTGATATGATGCGAGACCCTCGTTGGGTTTACAGTACATATTTTTGGAGCAGGGTTGTCTTCAGACTCTATTCAGAGGTTTATCTAGTGAGCAAGGTTGTAGGGATGACAGATGACGTAACTATCCTGGCGGCCTGTCCTGTATTGCGAGTCTGTTTTGTTCCGCTCCTCCTCCCGAGTCATCCTCTGGTGAGCCGTGTGTGGGCTGTGCCTGGCCCCACAGCGCGAGCACACAGGGCCATACACACACACACACACACACACAAACACACTCACATACACACACTGACACATAGGTCAACACAGGCGTTCTACCTTTTGTCTTATCTATGTACGAACTAGAGCATCTGTCTACGCCTCTCCTCTAATGAGTCAATGTACAAGTCATTTCATTTGTCAAATAAAGCTATTTGTCCTTAACCAGTGTCTCCATGACTTTTTATTCCTCGTTTGTACTCATGTACCTTTTTTGTGTTATTGTTTTTGTGTTTTTTTTAGCTTGTGTGAAAACGAATGCCTGGCCGATCTTGCTAACCCTGTCCGTACATCGTGTTTTACTACCATATCCAAACGACATGGGTAACTCTGTGCCTCCACTTTCCAAAGAGGAAATTTACTCGTTAATCCGATCTGTACGCTTTGCATAGCAGTCTGTCAAAATGATTTTTTGAGAAATACTTTTAAGTTTCAAAGAGATCTTCGCACTAGAAGTATTCTTTAGTGTGAAGAATACAACCCCGGGGTGTACGGATAGGGTTAAAAGACTTGATGAACCATGTACAAGTCAAGGGTTTTGAGTGTGACCAAGCTGGTGGCTGGAGGACACCACTGGTCACTTCTACTTCTT